TAAAAATCATTGTACTTTGAAATAATGCAAATTAAGAGATCAGAGGTCATTGCGGTTATTAATAAGGACCTGATTAGCAGGAAGAGAAAACCATAATCTTGCATAATACGGGGCTGATTGGAGAAGCACGATTTGGGAGCTGTAGAATTTATATAATTATTTGGTGTTCAGAACCTACGCAGTCTCCTAGACATGCTTTTTAAAGGTTTCCTACAGTTGCTTATATGATTGGAAATTAATACCAGAACTCCACAGTCTAGTACTAGTACCTGTATAAAATTGTGATTAATTCTTACTGTAAAATATATGCATTGCTCATATAGGGGATTAGTAATTCTTGATTTATCATTTGTTGTTTGTTCAGTCTTCTGCAGTGCTACCTTAAGCTCCCCACAAAGCAAAAGGATAACTCTTCCCAGCATGTTAGTTAGCTTGACCAAGTGAACCCCACTTTTCAGTTGTAGTCAACATTAGTGTACTTGGAATATATCAGATATTATGTATATTAGATAAGCAGCAGATCTCACACATAATGGTGCCTCAGCTAGGTCTGTGTCTAAGAAATTACAGTTGTGTTTGCAAGCTATCAGAACTCATGAAAGTTTCAGATGTTGCCAACCATTTGTTATAGGGTCTGTGCAGTAAGATTCGGTTTGACTGATTCTTCCTGACTAATATGACTGGCTGTATTCCTGTCATGCAAACATAGTTAGACATTTTTCTAAATAACAAGATTGAATAAATAGATTTTCCCTATACACTTATGTACTTGATGGACATATTTTTTAACTCTTCATTCCTTATCAAATTGAGGCTGATAGACATCAGGATCATGGTTTAAAACTTCCAGCTTGGAACTCTGAAGGTCTGACAAGAGTTAGCCTTGCCAGGCTTATTCCTCCCTACTTCTCTATTTACCCCATTCTTCAACCAGTCCCTGTTTTTCTTATATAACATGCACTTCATTTCTTCACTCTTTCGGTAGTCTGTCCATCCCTCTAAATCCTCTGCCTCCTTCAAGGCTAAACCAGCATTAAAGAGCTATTGTTCTGTACTCATTTCCATTCACCTCTCTACTCTGGCTCTGAACACCCTGTGATTGGTGGGCATGTCTGTGTTCTCCTTCTTAGCCTTGAGCTCCGTGAGGGCAGGAATCAAGTGGTCATCTCTCTCAGTTGCTTTGAAATCTAGCAGAGTGCCTGGCACAAGTTAAATGTGCACCTGCTTATAGACTCAATGACCAAATCAATGCTTATACCAATTCAGCTTTGGATACTAGTTTGCAAAAGAGTAATTGAAATTGGAGGAGAGAAAAGAACAGGGAAAGTCCATTTTAGGATGAAAGTGATACAACATTAGTTAAGCCAAGTCAAAAGGGCCAATAAATATTTTGTGAACTGGTTCCCTCCTACTAAAGGCATCCAAGATGCTCTTCATCTTCCTTGTCTACCTATGAGCGTCAGGACCCCTTGGGTCAGAAGATTTTCTCCACTGTCCTCCCCTCATTCAGTTATTTATAGCTTTAGCTCCAGTCAGGACATTTCTCTTCCAGACAGCAACAAACTCTTCTAAGGCAGAACTGTCTAGTAGAAATATCATATGAGGTACATATGTAATTTAAAGTATTCTGGTATTCACATTTAAAAAATAAAAATGAACGTGTGACATAAAGTTTAATAATCTACTCAGCCCAAAATATCCAAAATATTATCAATTTAATTGTAACCAGTTAATATATTACTAGTGAGATATTTGTTCTTTTTGTGTGGTCTTTAAATTTAGTGTTTTGGGGACGCCTGGGTGGCTCAGTTGGTTAAGCAGCTGCCTTCGGCTCAGGTCATGATCCCAGCGTCCTGGGATAGAGTCCTGCATCGGGCTCCTTGCTCAGCGGGGAGCCTGCTTCTCCCTCTGCCTCTGCCCACCTCTCTGCCTACTTGTGCTCTCTCTCTCTCTCTAGCAAATAAATAAAATCTTTAAAAAAAAATTTAGTGTTTTCTACTTAACAGCACATCTGAAATAGGACTAAGCACATTTTAAATGTTCTCTGTGATCACAAAGGCAAAATGGGGATTGTATTCGGCAGTGCATTCCTAGGCTATTCTCATCAGATTTTCCTATCCTTTTACCAACTCTCTACGCCCTCAGTTATATCTCAGTTCTCTCCATCTTACTTTAGTACTAAGACTAATATTTTTGTCTATTAGGGAATTGTTGGCTCTTCCCATCCAAATAAGACATTTCAGGCTTTAAGAATCATTTCTTTGTTTATAGCTTACACTCGGTATTTGTGTGTCTGTGATTTTTTAAAAAGTGTCATTATTAATAATGCTGTGTAAAAGACACACAACATGAAGTTTAACATCTTAACCATTGTAAGTATGCATTTCAGTGCCATTAAGTACATTCACATTGTACTTGCACACATGGTAACATTCTCCCTTCCCCAGCCCTGAGCAACCACTGTTCTCCTTTCTGTGTCTATGAATTTGACTACTTTAGGTATCCCGCATAAATGGAGTCATAAAATATTTGTCTTTTTCTGTCTAGCTTATTTCACTAAGCCTAATATCCTCAAATCATATCCATACTTGTGTCATTTATTTATTTGTGTTCATTTATTTATTAATTATTTATTTATTTTATTGTGTTTATTTATTTATTTATTTACTTAGAGTGCACACATGAGCTGGTGGTGGAAAGAGGGAGAAGGGAGAGAGAATCTGAAGCAGACTCTTAGCTCTCAGTTGGGAGCCCAATTTGGGTGTTGATCCCAAGACCCTGTGATTGTGACCTGAGCTGAAATCAAGAGTCAAATGCTTAACCAACTGAGCCACCCAGGCACCATATATATATACATAATTTGCTAGCAGTTTGTAGTCAGGCCTCGGGATGTGTTGGTTTTCACAGCTGACTAGGTGTCAGAGTAGGAAAAACTGTTTTATGGTATCACGTGAATAGCTTTCTAATAGAATCACTTAATTACTTCTGAGTTCCCTTGTGCACTTACCAGTTGTAAACAAATAGCTATATTTTATACATGTAAATGTATGGTTTAATTTTGGAGATTTTTGACACTTTGCCCATAATAGAAATATAGGGAAAAGACATTAGACTTGAGAAATTTCAAGATTTCCTTATGATCATCCATAAGCATCTTCTGTCTTTCATAAAAGAAAGCAGAAACTTAAATTATCTACTGGCATCATCTGAAAACTACAGCATCAATTCTTTCTGAATTCATTTCCTCTCTACAGTTTTGCTATTGAGGCCAAAGGTCTTCTGGGATATTGGAGGCCAAAGGTCTTCTGGGATATTGGAGATAAGTGTACCTTTAGTGCAATAATTGAAATACCTTAACATCTCATTTAAAACATATACGTAAAAAATGAAATAAAATAAAAATAAATAAATATGTGTAATAATTGTGGACAATATACTTGGCAAACTTAGTTTGTATGTATATTTTGCACCACTCAAAGAGTGGTTCCATTTGCCAACATCAGCATCACCTGGGAGCTTATTAAAAATGTAGACTCTCCACTGCACAAAAACCTTCCACATCAGAATCTGCATTTTAACAATATCCTTGAATGATTCGAAAGCACTAACATTTGAAAAGCTCAACCACTGAGATGTTGGAGGAAAAAAAAAAATCTCTTCATCACTAAACTAGTCTAAAGAGAATATTTCTTGTATCTTAATTTTCTTAAGCTAGTTTTGAATTTAGAATACCTTTAACCAAAAAAACCAGAAAACAAAAAACAAACCAAAAAAAAAAAAACCAAAAAAAACTTATCACTTTGTTCTTTGCAATCCGTTATTCAAGATTCTCATGAAGTGATTGCCTCCTTCATTTTCTTAAACATCTTTGGATGCTTACTATATGCCAGGCATTTAATCTTCATAAAAATTCAGTTTTTTAGCTATGAGAGTGTGCCCAAGTTGACAGTTAGTGAGTGGCTGAGTGAGGATGTTGACCCAGGTAGTGTGGCTCCCAGGCTGGTGCTCTTCGCCACCACATGACATCTCTTTGGTCATAGGCATGTTCAGGTCTCCTGCACCAGGACAAAGCCCAAGTGAGGAAGTTATTTGATGAGAAATAGCAGATTACTATAGCTGCAGTGATGGTTCCATAGATGGAGGTACTTAACTATTTTTTTCCCAAGTCAAGGATACAAATAATTCCTGATTAAGTGAAATATTTCATATACTTTTACACATTTGTTTATTTTACAACAATATAAGGAATGAAGATCTTATCTTTTAAGAGTAACTATGAGTTGAAACATACTGTTCTTTCTTTATAGTAATCTAGCAATAGCCATGAAAATTCAAAGATGAAAAAGAAAATTCAAAGATGACTGAGCTTTAGAGCCAGACAAAACAATAGAGGAGAAAGGAACTGTTGTATATAGATGTGAACTAAAATCAACACAGTTGCATATTCAAGCCTGGAACAGTCAGGAAAATGACATTTTGTTCGTTTGTTTTCCTCTGTCCTCCCTTCTATTATCATTTCCTGTGTCAGATGCCCTGAAAATTGGTGGTAAATATTTCAGTTTGATATAACAATGTCATATTTCATGTAGTAAAGATTAGGAGCATGTCAATAAGAATTTTTTTTTCTATGCAAGCTAGATTGCAGACCAAGGACTGAAAGAGGTATCTATTTCTATCCTTTTAATATTATACTCACAATGTCTCCTCTAACTCTAGATGAAAATCCTGTTATATAGGTTAGCATAAGACTCAAGCCTTATCTGTAAGAGAACAGAAACCTCTCTATGTCCACATTTCAGAAAGACTTAAAAGGCTATGACTGATAGAACTGAAAGAGGACCATTTTAATCCACGAAATATGTTATCAAGTTAAAACTCATTTTTACACTGGGGAGAGGAGCTAGTGATGGGAATGAAGGATATTGTAATTTAAGATGTTTATTGAAGCTAAATTGATGTCCAGAATTATAATAAGTAATTGATGTAATTTTTCTTTTCAGTTTGTATGTACAGAGAGCCATCACTTCATGAAATTGGAGAAAAACAAGGGCGTTCAAGGAAAAGTTCTGGAACACCAACCATGAATGGAGGCAAAGTCGTGAATCAAGATTCAACATAGCTGAGAACTCTTCCCTTCGTCCCTCTCTCATCCCTTCCCTTTCTCCCCCGTACTTTTCCCATTTCCTTCCAATAAATCCACCCAAGGAGAGGAAAATAAAATGGCAACCCAGGACCTAGTGACTAAGATTCTGCACTCAAAAATCTTCCTTTGTGTAGGACAAAGAAATTGAACCAAAGCTTGCTTGTTGCAATGTGGTAGAAAATGCACATGCACAAATATTAGCACATATAAAATCAAGAGAAAAAAATAAATCAAGACACCACAACATTGTGCTGTTATTAATAGAAGGCTAATTATAATGAAAACATAACTATAATAAATTTGAAATAAAGTTATTATCTTAACGACAAGGGTTTTGGAGAATTGAACTTACAAATCAATGTAATACCCTGAATAACTTAAACTTTGGATAATGCTGTGATGTGTGCTTCCCATTGAATTTGAATTTTCTTTGGGAATCTGGAATTGACACATAATTACATTCTGTTTCCAGGATTTTTTTTTACCATGATATTAAACATGTACAAATTATAGATTCTTCTAATTCCCATATGGTGTAAGCCAGAAATCATTTAAAAGTTTAAACTTTTATTCTTGAATTTGTTACTTACAATTATTTTATGCAAAAGAGAGACTTCTGTTGAATTTAATAGTATTAGCTGATTTTATTCCTTTATAAAAAGTTTCAGATTCACTTAGGAGATTATCATATTTTTATCAAAATAATTAATCCAGGATCTCATTTTTTTTAGTTATTTAGAAAAAAAAATGTGTTCTAAGGCTGAGGTTACTTTTGAGAATTCGGTGTCATTGCCATGCTTGGGGAGGGATGAATAAGTTATATGCACTTATCATGTGGTCTGATTTTTCACATTGTGCACAGCTTGGAGAGTATTGGTGCATGTCTAGCTGTGTTAAAGAGTTTTGTACCATCTCTTGCAGCAGGAAAGAAAGAAAGGGGTTTCACACAAGGAAATAAATCCTAGGATATTGGTCAAAGCAAATCATTTTTGCCTTTGTACCTTACCAGAATTTTAGGTATGTAGCACTTTCCAAACTTCACCAAGAACTTGGGAGGCATGAATGTGAAATTCCTAATTTATTATCTCATGAAGCCAGTGGCTTGCTTGTTACTATATATCCTTCTTAATAAGTCTAGTTGACAGTAACTGTCTCCTAGAACACAGAAGGGAAGTTGATACATTGAATTTTCAAGGGGCATAGAGAGAGGATATAGAATTAACAGCTATGGTTCCAACACACAGGGTTGTGTGAGCTTAAAGTAGTAAAAAACAACAACAACAACAACAAAAAACTCAGCATAAGGACTGGGCAAATGCATAGTTAGGAATACTAAAGTATTAGGAAAGCATTAGGAAAGAAATTAACGTAATACAATTGCCTTGGGGGGGGGGAATAGATCTACTTAGTCCTACAAATCAAGAATGGTATAGAGACATCCAAATTAAAACAGAATGTTAAAAAAATGTATGCAGAATTATGGATATTATCAATGAGAAGACTTAGCATGTTACTTCTCCTATAGCTCTACTGTCCAGCATGTATTGTTCCAAATATGACTCCCTAAAATATATACACTTTGCAGAAGCTCTAGGCCTTCACTTAAATGACCTTGCCATTGGTTGCTGTATTCTTTCAAAGTCAATGTAGTTCCCCTCACTCTACACAATCATTATTCTTTAATAGTAGTTTGTGTCCTTCACCAAGTATTCTATTTATGTTATCAGGAGGTTAGCAGAAAATGAAATGGAGGAATTTGCCTTATCGTTTGTAAGAATACAAGTTAGGCATCTAGACAAGGACTTTGAACACACATTTGCAAAAGATATTTGTTTAACCAAAATATTTTGAAAGCATTGCATTAAAAGGGGAAAAAAAAAAGGAATGTTGCTCTTCTAGGAAAAGAATACCTTTGTAAAAAAAATTACAAATCTGGTTGTATTTCTCCTTGTCACTCTTGATTCAACTTGATTTTGAATATACCTGTCACTTCTAGGAACAAACCAATCCCAAGCACAAAGCCTTGTTTTCTTTGAAAAAATAAAAAGAAAGAGGCTTCTATAAAATGGGTCACAGGCTCATTTAGCATGAAATGACAAGATCTTATGGTGATACACACACCCCACAAACTCATCGGTAATATAATTGTTTCACAAAGTGTTATTAATTACACAAATGACTTCATGATAATATATTTAATCCAGTTAAATATTATGAAAAATGTGATAGAGATATAAACTCCCAACACCATTTTCCCCTCAATTATCAATGGCTGTCCATCATTTATCACTGAGACTCATATTTGTCTTTTTCCTGATAGAAATTAAGAAACAGAAGTCTCACCACCCAATTTCTATATTGTTTTTTTTTCCATATCATTTAAGCAAATGTTGACCACAGTAAAATGTTTAGAAATTAGCTTTGCCTTATTTACAATTAGTTTTGAAGTATAAATTGGAAAACTCCTATTTTTTTTTATATATTAACCTGACAAAAACTGTAGTTTAGAGCATAGGGTGAACATTTCCTTAACTGATGCTTACTTTTTAAGTACATAAAACCTTTAATAGAGAAAGTCAGTATTCACTGTTTAGGTTTTCAAACAATTACCAAATATAAACATGTAGTTATACTATTTCCTCCAAAAACATGAGCCAGTTAAATAGTTTGTTTTTCAGGTTTCTTCCAAGAGAAAGAATTCTTTACTTTGATTTTCGTCATTCTAATGTCTGGGTCTCAATTCATCCATCTCTTATGTTCCCATAAATAAAATAAGCTCTTCTTTTAATGCATTGGGATATTCTCAGGAAAAATACAACTTTTAGTAAAGCTTTGTTATTGACTATGTACGTATAAGTTAAGATGTGTTTATTCTAAGAGTCCTTATTGTAACATGTTTCAAAATCAATGGGCTTAAGAATGAAAACAAAACTTTTGAGAATCTCCAAGTAGTTTTCTGGTCAATACACTTCACTTATTTTTAAGCTAGAAGTTTGAGGTACAGAAACAAAATGGTGCTGAAGTTCCATTTGCTAATTTAGAGCCTTTTGTGCTTCAGGAAACTGGAGGACAGCCAGCCAACCTGTTCTTGATCACAGTAATAGTTTGGGTTTCGAATTTTACACATGAATTTCATAGCACACTTTTAGCCGCTATGGATTGGCGCAATAAAAAGACATCAATTTGATGTAAATTGTGATGCTTTATGGGCCTCATTTTAATACAGATAACTTTTTAGAAGAATTCTTCAATTTAGGAAAATGACACTGCTCTAGATAGGTATTATATCTATGGATGGTGGTCCTGTGGTGCCACCAGCAAGAGATGAGAGCATTAAGGGGAAATTGGAGGATGAAGATGGCTTATTGTGTATTACAAAGTTTGAAGGTCTTAATATGAGACCACTGATTTCTCGGTGAAGAAGCATGACTACATCAATAGTAATTTTTTTAAACACAGACTCAGAAATAGCAAATCTACTATTCTACCCTCATGGCTTAGTCTACAAGGCCTTGCTCTGAGAAGGTTTTTCCATGATGTTACTTAATTTTGTCTGAACAAGGTGAGACACACTCAGACATCAAAATTCCCTGCTCATTTTAATAGCATAAAAGGCTGAGATTATTTCTCTGTCATAAAATTGTAAATAGCATTTTTTAAATCAGAATCACATTTAAAACAGTGGATTGTTCTACAAATATATATGTGTATATATACATATGCTCTGAAATAAGGATATATAGAGTTTTTATTTGACTTGTGTTCTTTAGTCATAGCTAATCAAAAATAAAGAGATTTGAATGCAAAACTTTATATACAAATGTATATTTCTAATGGTAGTATAAATTGCCACTTTATAATAAAAAAAGAAACTGGTGGAAATAATCAAAGCACACGCTCCTTCAGAACTTCAGTGATTCTGAATTCCCTTTTTAATGTAGAAGTGAGTTTTTCTTTTTTTTTTAAGTTATCTTAAAAAGCTATACTTCCTGAATTGATTCTATGAAAAATCATCTCAGATTGAAAAGTTATGATTGAGGGCAGGAAAAAGATGCTAAATGCAGATCTTTATTTTCAGGATTTTTCCTTGGAGCCCAAGTTAAAAATTCGATTATTTTAAATCTAAATTACATGAAAATTGCTAATGTTCAGAGACGATATATTAGGTTTGGTAACAGAAGCAAAAATATATCTATCAGTACAATAGCTTTAAAATAATGTCATCATAAACATTGCATCATTAGATGTTTTATTAGTTGGAAAGAATGAGTTGATGTTTCTTTGTCTTTGCTCCAAGCACAACCTGAAGACACTGGCATTCATTTTACTTAAAGCTGTTCAAAAGTCCAAAATATACTCCCATGAATAGAATTGGTATTAGCTCCATTACAAGGTTAAATGTTACAATTTTAAAAAAAGATTATTGACACTGAAATGTTTAATAAACATGTTGTATGAGAAACTGAACAAATTAATGTTTCATTTTTACGTTGAAGCACAGACTATTCAAATCATTATTTTTTGAGATCAGATTTGTAAAATGTTTATACATCACAGTCTTCCTGAAGTAACAAGCAATTAAAGTCTTGAGATGCTCATGCATGTAGACAAAATACTTGCACTTTTTTTTTTGTTGTTGTTTTATAAGCATTAAAATTCTCTGGGAAGTCTCTCTCCTTTTTTAAAAAAAATGTGTTTATCCTATTATGTGTCAGTGAAAAAGTGCTGTGTCTTATGAAAGGAGATCAAAATTAAATTCACAGAAGATGAATAAGTCAGAATTTTTATTGACCATCATAGCCAAAAGTAAAAATTACTTGCTAAATGTGAATCACCTAGTGGTCAACCTAACGTCGTACTTGTTGAGGATTAAGAACTAGGTGCATTCACTCTTCAGTGATTCATAAAGTACTAATTAGAGATGTGGTTGAGTTTAGGGATTGTAAACTAAATTTTAGGCTCAAAAAAAAAAAATCTAAGAAAGGAAGGCACATAAATAAATAATGTAATATCGGAAGGTAAATGTTACAATAAGCTTTTCCATGCAACCTACAAGGCAACAGTGAAGCTTACAGGGAAGACAGGGATTGAAAAGAGAGCAGATATTTACGGTGAAGTAAAAGAGAGATGAAAAACAGCCCCTTAAGCAGAGTAAATAGTTTGAAGACAAGTTATGGAGACATGAAGATCACACCTTACTTGGGAGATACTTATGAATGAAACAAGGAAAGTGTGTTCAGCTGAGGTGATGGGGGGCAGGGAGAGAACTGAGTTGATATCAATGAAAATGAAAAGTCAAAGTTTTGTCAATGCGATATTTGGATTTGTTTG